TTTATCTAACAACTAAGTCTGAAAGGAATTCCACCTTATTATAAACCAATAACTTAACTGTTCTGGACAAAATCACAGAACAGTATAAAAGAAAAATGAACATTATCCTTGGGAAAATTAATGAAGTTTTAACTGAGTGATATAACCAATGTTACTAGATTTGATTAGCTTTTCAAAAAGAAAGCCAAAAATAAAAAGCTTTTCTTAAAAAGCTACATAAAATATACAAAATATAAAAATAGTGTACCTAAAATACATAAAATATTAAAAACTGTCTCTTAAAATATTTTATATCTTCATGCTTGCTGTTACTTAGACTTTGAAATCAAAAGGCAGCACAGTTTTCTCTTTTCTCTTTCATAAATCTTTCCTGTAAGAACATCTTTTATGCTTAACTGATTTTTTTTTTGAAACAGCGATACTGACTTTAACATAATGTACATACACCTTTATCATGTAAGTATTCTAAAATCTTATTTTAAATTGTTTTTATATGTAATAACTTAAGTTTTAATGGAAACTAGCATTTATTTTTAAAAATTTTATATTTTTATATTAGGTTGGATGCACATACACTGACATATGGCTTTACAGAGTGACAGAGCCTGCCACCTCCTAAACCATAGATTGGTCTGGGGTGGCCCTGGCCTATAGCACAAGGCCTGTAACAGAGGCAAGCTTTCTTCATTCTTGCAAGCACCCCATCCACTCATGCTTAGAGACAGACATTCTTCACCCTCTCAATAAATCTGTCAAGGGTCTGTCTCAAGGGACTCACATGAATTCCATCTAATCTACAGGGCAGTGTCTTAAACTGCACAACAGAAATAAAATAGTCTGTTTTTTTATCATGAAACTTTTTATTTAATGCAAAAACAATAATTACAGATATTTACAAGGTATAATCATTTAGCAACAATACAATAACTAACTGAATAAAGATATACAAATAGTTTAATCAGCAAATTTTATGGACATTGTTTAATAGTTGTCTCTGACAAAAATATTAAATATTGTATATTCTCATTTATGTGAAAGCTAAAACAGTTGATTTTCATAGAAATGAAGAATAGTACAAGGGCCTGGGGATTTAGCTCAGCGGCAAAAGCGCCTGCCTGGCAAGCGCAAGGTCGTGAGTTCGGTTCCCGGTACCGGAGAAAAACCAAAACAAAACAAAAAAAAAGAATAGTACAATGGTCACTAGAGGTTAGGAAGGGGAGTAGGGAGAGAAACAGAGGGAGGCTAAAGAACAGTTACCAAAATATAATTCTATGGGAGGAATGTACTCTAAAGCTCTACTGCACAGCAAAGTGATCATAGTGTACAATAATTTATTATGTATTTTATACAGAACTGCCAGAGTCCCAACACAAAAAATGATACTTTTTTAAATGATATATGTTTAAGGAGATGCTAATTATCCTGATTTGATCATGACAGATTGTATACATGCATAAAATATCACACTGCACCCTATAAATGTCCAATAATTATATGAAAAAAAGATTTAAAATGCTTCAAAGACAGACATCTCACCAAAGAAGATACACAGAGATCAAGTCAGCATATTCAAAGACTTGCAATATCATATGTAACCAGGGGGTTGCAGGTTGAATGAGACAGACACCTGGGCTGGGGTGTAGCTCAGTGGTAGAGCACGTGCCTAGTATGCATGAGGCCCAGGGTTTGTTCCCAACCTGCAGAAACAAACAAAACTACCACTACAACCAATTAAGAGTCCCCAAACTCCAAAGCACTGTGAGCATGGAGCACAGGTGAGGGTGTGCCACTGAGGGCTTGTGCATGCATGGGGATGGGGATCCTAGGGAACCTGTGCTTCCCACTTCTTATACAGTGAATCCAGACTGCTAAAAAATAACACCTGTTACATTAAATATAGTAACTTCAAATAATGACACTCTATGTATATAAAAAGGTACAAATGCTTACATGGGGTGCTTTTTTCCTTTTAAAAGTAGAATCCTAGCTGGATGTGGTGGTTACATGCTATAATCCCAGCCCTGTAGGAAGCTGAGGCAAGAAGACCAAAAGTTCCAGACCAGCCAAGGCAACTTACTGTCTGCGCAAGAACCTGTTTAAAGCGGGGAAGGGGTGCAAGTGTGGGGATGAAGCTCAGTACAAAGGCCCAGGTTTAAATTCCCAGTTAAATAAATAAATAAATAAGCAAGCAAGCAGCCTCCTTTTGAGTTGAGATGACAATAGTGACCCAAATTGATTAATGATGTATCTGAACTCCATATTTACGCTTTTTATTTCTCAAGTTCAAAATGTATTTTGAAAAGATGGCTGGGTGAGGTTAGAGTGTGCATCAGTCACTGTTCCATCACTGGGACAAAATGCCTAACATCCACAGTTTAAGGGATGAAAGTTTATTCTGGCTCACATTTTCAGAGTGTTCAGTCGAGGCTGGCTGGCTTCAAGGCGGAAACAGCATGGTGGAAGGACCATGGTGGAGGAAAGATTCTCAACCCATGTCAGCCAGGAAGCCAGAGAAAAAGGAAGAGCCAGGGATAAGAATACACCCTTCCAGGCCATGCCCCTGTGACCCACTTCCTCCAACCATGTTCTGCCTCCTAACAGCACTATCTTTTTTTTATACCGGGAATGGAACCAGGACCTTGTACTTGCCAGGCAGGCGCTGTGCTGCTGAGCTATATCCCCGCTTAACAGCACTTTCTGCTATGAACGTATCAGTGGATCACTGATGAGTACAGGGCCTCTGAGAGCCACTCTCCTTCCAAGAGCCTCGCCTCTGAACATGAGACTGCTCGGGGACATTTCAGATCTAAACCATAATGGGGTGAAATTCTGAGACAGAATTTTCCATGTCCTAAGTCAAGTAACCTGAACAGAAACTGAACTCATAACCTTGGCCTCAGTAATGTCACAGCCTGTTATTAGTTACTTTCCTGTTGCTGGGACAAAGTGCCTGATCGCTGAAACTTCGAGGTGTTGGGGTTTATTCTGTCACAGTTTCAGGATTCATCCCAGCGTTGGTTGGTGCCAACACAGAAACAGCATATAGAAGGGTATGGAACAGAAAAGCTGTTCAATCCACGGCAGCCAGGGGCAGAGCGAGAAGGGAGGGGCCGGGGACAAGAGCACAGCCCTCCAGGCCACACCCCAGGAGCCCCCTCTTCTAACCAGGCCCCCCCTCCTAACAGCTCATTCAGCTCCAAGCTCATCCACGGATAAATCACTGACAGGTACAGCACCCCCACGAAGCAGGCACTGTTGAAACGTCCTACCTCTGCACACACGAGGCTTTTGCAGGACGTTTTAGATCTAAACCATAACACAGACTAACCCAGCACATAAGCATAGATGGCATTCATGAATTGGTATGCTTTGATGACAATTTATTTGCAAAGGAGTGGACAGATTACAAATGTACATAAGGGGTGGTGTCAGTTGCAGGGTCTAGCAGAAATGGAGCTGTCACTATTCCTAGGCCAAAAAGGACAAGAAGATGATCACTGGAACTTGAAAAGACAGCATCATGAAACACAGGCCAAGTTGAAAGGAACAGTGATCTGTTGCAGCGGGTGGCCAGGCTGAAGGGACCTCAGTGACAGATGGGGGAATAAACACCCTGACTTCTGACTCTCCTTCCACCTGCCATCTCCTGCCCAGGATCCACTGGCCAAGCTCAGAGGACAGAAGACAGAGAAGCCCACTGACACAATTCATACAAGTAAGATTTCCAGGTGTAAGTCTGGATCTAAAGTAACAGATGGAAGGTATTTTGTACAGAAAGGAATAACCACAGGTTAAATGCACGTTAGCATAGGACAGGTAGCTGACTCTCTCAGGGGGAGGGAAGTAGCTCCAAAGTGACCTGAAGTGGTATTATTTGAGATGGGGCTTTGACCAGAGTAAAGGGAAGAAATGAGATGCTATTATAGAAAGAACAAGGCCTTACCTATTTCCTCTTCCTCGTCTACCAGTTTGGGTATTTTCAGTTGAAAATAATGAAAACTGCACTAGCCCTGACCAAATTGGTTTACGTATGACAGAGGCTACTGGCTCACATGACTGAAAAGCCCAGTGGTAGGAGAAGATGGGGAGTCAGCTGATAAAGGGACTCAACAATGTCATGAAGGAGCAGGCATCTTTATGTCGCCTCACTCTGTTAGGAAGTGTGTCCTTTTTGGCTTCTCTCCTGGTTGTGGGGGACCACAAGTCACAGTGGGGGTTACGCTTTTCCTGGTTTCTTAGCCAGTAGTTAAGGTCATTTATCTCTTCCAGAGTCAATGTTTGGCAAGAGTTAAGAAATAGGCTTATGGCTTCTGCCAATTTAGGGGTCAGTTCTAAAGTTGGAGACATCAAAGGAAAAATTCAGGAGGAGAAGAGGGGTGCTGGTATTAAGTAAGCCACCAGTAAATGTCCATTCATGAGCCTCCCACCATACCAGACCTGTGCTAGTTCTTCAGTACTAAACTTTTCCCCACCTCAGGGATTTTGTCCACGCTCTTGTCCATGCCTGAAACATTCCTTCCCCTACCCCCTTTACCCCCAATCCAATAAAGCCACCCATTATGTCATCACATCCTAACTTCTCCAGATCCCTTGTGAGTTTTACACTATGTCATCTGTATATTTGTTTTATGTCTTCTCCACCAGGCTGTAAACCTTATAAAAACCAGAACGTGCTTTATTTTCCTCAGTTGTACCACATAGTACCTGGCACATAGAAGTCAACCATGAACACTGACTGAATGAACGAATGGTGCTAATGCAGCTAAGATGTAGTGAACGTCTACTGGCTGTTCGTGTCACCATAAAAGTGCAAGCCACTGATCACTAGTCAAAGAAATAGTATGGTAATGGGCTGGAGCAAATTCATTATTACATTACCAGAATCATAACTCAAAGTTTACAAATCTGTACTTTTCCTACCAAAAACGCTATTTTCTAGTAATAAGATTATTTTAGACTATAAATTTTTACTTAATAGTATAAAATTTTAACAACCATACCTCCTTTAGGCTGCATATTTCAGATTCTTGCTTCTTATTTAAAGCTGAAAGTCTTTTGTTTAATTGTATTGCTTCTTGTACTGCAGTATGAAAGACATTTAGGAAAACAAACTCATGGTATATTTCAAAGAAAGTATAACTAGCTTGGACAGAGAAAATAGTGTCAATACAATACACACAATTATTTAATATTCATTACATAGTTATTTGCTATTACTAATATCTGGTAAGTTCAATTTATTCATGATAAACAAGTCCATTTCAATAATCTCTAGTGAATATGTAAGCTTAAATATGATAACACTTACCATTTTGTTCTAACTTTACATGACTCTCTTTCACCAAGCCAAACTGATTTGTTACTGTAGCATAGCATTTCTCAATTTCATTCAGTTGCTTATGATAATCTTCTTTAGCCAGAAGATGGAACTGGACCTTTTGTTCCTATTTTGAAGAATAATTTTTAAAGTTATTCATATAAGACAAACATAAACATGTGCAATAGGTATACAGTGAAAAACAACTCTTCTTAATAAGATACCAAAAATAAATGTCACAAAAACATACACTATTGGGAGGACAATGTTAGGAGATACTACTAAATCTATGTAAAGTAAAGCATACTATTTTCCTGTAACAAAACAGTCACTTCATGTAATGCTTCCACGGTTTACAATTTCTTTTTCAAAGTCAACTGACTCTTTTATTTATATATAAAAAGCTAATTAATCTACCAGTAAATAAAGTGAGGGGATTACTAACAGTCTGGGTACTTGGAAATATTTTTCTTTCTCCAATAGATCATCCGGATAATCAAGACCTAACCAGATCATTATTTTTATTCTTTGTCCTTGTAGTTTGCAAACACAAATTTAATATACATTGTCAAAACTCACGTAATTTTTCTGAGATTAATTTTAATAACATAGCATCTTCTCACTGCATTACAAAATAGAAAACAAGGACAATAACTCTCAGTGACAGGAGGGCAATACAGTATAGTAAAAAATCCACTTAAACTAGAGACATAATTGGTAAAAATTGGACCCTACTTATAAGGGTCTCCATTCCTCTCAGCTAACAGAGCTGCTTTTACCATACTTAAGAATTGACTTTAACTTTTAAAAGTTGCCAGCAGATGCAAAGCCCTGGGTTCAATTGCCAGTATGACGCCTCCCCCAAATATGTTAGTAGAATCAACAATTCTTTTTAAAGGCTTTTTAAAAATCTCGACATTAGCAGAATCACTGATGGGCTTTACAACTTTTTAAAAAACTGCTTCAGCTTCTATGATGAACAGTGCTAAACAACAAACAAAAAACACAGTATAGTGCCATTAACTGGCACTCAATACTTGTCTTTTGAATGAGTTATGACTGTCCTACAGATTTCCAAAAGTGGCTTTTTGCAGAAGTCACCTAAACAGTATCCATTTCCTTTACCCAATACTACCAGTACCATAATTTATTCTACTGAAATGGTTCTGCCTCATTAGTTGCACAGGACTAAAATGCACAAGTTTTCTTTCTCTTCTAGAGAAGGGAAAGGTGTATTAACCAAAATAAACCAATTGACCTACCTTTCTGGAATTTGAATCCTGAGGAAAAAGACTATAAAACTGAAGAAGTTTGGTGGTAACCCTACTCACACTAGTAGGAGACCTCTGCTGTGGCTTTCTATGTCCTGCCTCCAGGACAAACTCCAAAGTTACTCTGACCCCTGTTTATTCCCACATTCTCCACTCTCTGGTTGACCGGATGCCTCGCCTGAATTTCTGTTTGCGTAAGTTAACCAGTCACGTTTTACTACTTAAAACCGAAGCACAGGTAGGATGGCACAGCAGTCAGAAGTTACTCTATGTGTGTTTAAATCCTGTCTCTGTGACTGAGTTCATATGATCTTGGGCAAATCACCCTATCTTAAAGTGGAGATTATCATAGCGTTTTCTTCCTAGGGTTGCTGTAAAGGTAAAATGAATTTATGTAAAATTTATATACTAAGAACAGATCCTATTACATAATAATCTCAATGTAAGGACTTGTTATTATTATTTAACTAATAAAAGTATCTTTAATAGTTTTAATTAATTTATAGACTAAGAAGAGTTTTCTCTTCTATTAATCAAGAAACACAAGTTAAGATGAACCTAACTACATTATCTTGACAAGTCTTATGGTAGACTTAACTTTTTCAAAGTTATCGTTTAATGACTTTAACCAAAGTTATACTATAAGCAGTAATAATTACAACAGGTCAGTTCAAAGTTTCTCACACCCTTCTGTGGGCTTTTCAACATCATTTGAACTAGTTGTTGACAAATGTTAACAATGAAAAAAAGGAGCCATATTCATTTCCTCTAAAATATCACTTAACTTCTGACTGAGAGAATTATAGTAACTCTCGGAAGACGTAAAAACCCACCAGGATTTCACTGAGAATTGGTTATACAGCATTTTGTTTAATTCAAGAAAGTTTTCAATGCAAATATGTATGTAGCTTTTAAGAGAAAATGCTTTACTATATACTAATACAAGATCCCAATGACAGACAACTTTTCAGCTAAAAAGTGGTAGGCAGTCAATGCCTAAAAAGGTTCACAATTTTGTTAACAAAAAGATGTAGCAAAGGCCAAATTCAATAAAAATGTAAGTTCATGTGTTTCTGTGATGTAATTCTGTTTTGCAAATACGTTAGCCTATTCAGTGAACATGATAAACACCGACCACTCCCAGATCGCACGGGTACTGACAGCTCATCCCAGTGCACACCCATCTGAGCTCCGCAGGCTGCTCTGACAGTCCTGAGCTGTCAGGTCCGCCACTAACTGCAGGATTACCAATAAAAAGTTTCAAATTCCTTGAGAAGCAACAATAAATGTAACTGGTAATAACTACCAAGAACATTTTAGAGAATAACAAGATAATGGTACTAGTACTACTAAAACTTTCATATTACATACTATATCAACGAGGAAATAAAACTTATTTTAATAATTAAGTACATAGTGTACACTATCTACATTTTGTTCTTCTTACCTCTGAGATTAATTTATTTTTTTCTTTTATCCAACTTTACCACTAAATACAAGACTTAGTCCACAAAAAAATAATGTCCAGATATATTGTTTTATAAACACACGTGTGCCTCATTTTAAAAGCATCTAATCTATACAAATTTAAAATAGGAATCATTTATAAATACTGACACATAATCATTTAGAAATACATTTACTACCCAGGCATGGAGGTGCATGCCTGTAATTCCAGCACTCAGGAGGCTGAAGCAGGAGGATCACCTCAAATTTGAGGCCAGCCTGGACTATACTGCAGCTCAAGGCCAGCTTGAACTGCATAGTGAAACCCTGTCTCAAAAAACCAAAAAAAAAAAAAAAAAAAAAGGAAGTATATTTACTAATAAAAGCTATAGCCACACTCTCTCCTTTTCCCTATTTAATGAGATTAACTTGAAACTAGTTAGGTACTCACATATAAGGAATCATGAACTTCTGTTAAAAGTGTCTTACACTATTTTCCAAATAATTTCCTTTAGGACACTAAACGTTACTATTCTTCAAACTCTTGCTTTGACACTACTGTCTATCTGTTTTGCTCATAGTCAAAATAATATAAAATAATGACATACTGCTTTAAAAAAGATTAAATACAGAAAGGACAACATAAATTATAAGGAATAATATAAGAAAATTATCTAAGAATTATTATATAAGATAAGGACATGTCAGAATGTTTAGAAAAATACTATTACTTTTTAAATTAAAAAGTACTTTCAGAGTAGGCATAACATTAAATGTATGCATCAATATATAAAATTACTTTAATAAAAGTGATATAATGCTTTTAACTGTCAGAAAAAACCACTGACTCTTAACTCAAATATCACTGTAATAGTATTTTAATAGTTTGTAATTCACAACCACAAAAAGCTTGAAAATGACCAAAACTAGGTAAGTATACTACATGTTTCTTTGTTTTTAAAGATTATAAGCATATGTTTAATAAAATTTTAAATTGGAATAAAACACATTTTATGCTGCCTTTGATCTTTAACTTGTAGCCTTATCTCCCAGGTCAAAGGACACATTATTCAATTTCACTGTATTTTGTGTAAAATCACCGTAGCGTTGCAGATGACTTTCAGAACAAATGTCATGGTACTTAAAGCCAAACTGGAATCTAGTTTTTCAGCTTCTTAATTAAAATCACAGTTTAAAATAGTCTGACAATACTATTTTATTCTTTCCAGTTCAACAGCAACACAATTTCACATCTTTTAGTCAATCAAGCTTAACAAACTCTCTATGAGCTCTTTTATTTTCTAACACATCAAAACAATTTCAAGAAGCAAAATATTACTATATGTTTTTATATTTAATGTCGTAAGTGAAAAGCCAGACTCAAAAATTAATTTTACTTGCTTTACAGTCCACTCCAAAGAATAAAGGTTGAAATAGCATTAATCCATACAAAAAGCTTCCTAAAGATTTAAGTAGCTATAGGAGAATTCTCAATCAAAACCACACAAACACTGGGCCTCCTGAATTAAATGAAGCTACAAAGGAAGTATATTCCATATACTTTTGTGCTGTAAAAACAAAAATATTTATTTTTTATATACATCGGAAGAGGGATTCACAACAAATAGTTGTTGTACAATAGGAACCACATGTTAAGTATAGAACGAAAAGGATGAGTATCAGATCCCAAATGCCACTTCATCTATTTCAATTTTTTATAATAAATAACTACATGTTTGCATGAATATCTAGAAAAGTATCATAAAAATAAAGGTTTCACATTTTATTTTATAATATAAGAGCACTATATCTTCTGCAAATAAATTTGTGAAAGAATTAATTTATGCTGTACTGAACTGAAATTTAAGTCCAGCCTTTACAGGTAATACCAGTATCCATTTTCAAGTATTCTTGTTTTTTACATATAAATATCATATTTACATTCACTAAAGCACTGCGCATTTTATGCAGTAATCCAGGTGGGGGAAATATATGCTGTGTCATTTCCTTACCATTTCACTTACTTTCTTCTGTAAAGAATATTTAGAAACCTTGAAAAAATAAAGAACAAAAGGTTATTAAAAGTGTTTATTAAAAGTTCCTTCTCATAATGAAATTGCATGCTATAAATGTAGCATTTCTCATTTTTTTTTCAAAATTTTACACTGGTTCTCTCCTTATAACAACAAGAATACATTCATGTGTTTATCCTAAACATCCACCCTGCTCCCACCATGCCAGCCATTTCCTTCAGCTCCTGGGTTAGAGCTGTGAACTAAGCAGGAATGGTGCAGACAGATGATAAACATGGTGACATGTACAATATGTTAGGGCGGGACAGCTACTAAGACAAACACAGAGATAGAGAGCGACCAGTCTAGGAGAGTTCACTGGAGAAATTCTGAAAGAAAGGTTAAGCATAAAAGTCATTATAAACAAGTAAATCATCTCCAAACCCCCAGATGTCATTAACCCTCTTCCAGATCCTTTTAGATGCATTTATACTTTAAAAGAGTCAGCGGGGAGTGATGATAATAGATGTAACGTTATAAAACATTATAACCTCTTTTTATCTAACATGTAATAAACACCTTTCTGTGACTGGTTGACACACAATGTAACTTTTCAACAGCTACAAAGTACTCTGCTGTTTCATGTCATCATAGTTTACCTTACCATTGTTTATAGGTTTACCCCGTTTTCAATTTTTTATATTATAAATTATTCTAAAATAATATACTTGTACCTAAATTTTGTAGTTATTTATCTTAGCACGATAAATTCCAAGCAGTATCTCTAACATTTTTTCACTTTTAAAAGTTGTTACACAATCCTCCAGAGAGGCTGAGTTAAACTCCAACCAGCTATTTATGTGTGCTCATTTTTTAAAGTGTACATACATTTGTTAATTTTTTTTTTTTTTTTGAGATAGGGTCTCACTGCGTAGCCCAGGTTGGATTTGAACTTGTGGCAATTCTCCTGCCTTAGCCCCCTAAGTGCTGGGATTATAGGCATGCACCACCATACCCAGTTTAAATTTTAAACAAAAATATAGCTACTTCACATTTCCTATGAAAAAAATTCTTTAACCTAATGCCATGAGTAAGTTGATGTTTTTTGTTCATCTTGGTGGAATGGGCAATGTGCAATTCCTTCCTTCAACAAATACTGAATGGTTAGTAGGAAAAGTACTGATGTAGACAGGGTGCAACACTGGTTTAGAGGCTGAGCAATGTAAATGAGTTAAATAGATGCTATAATAGACACTGATGGGTGCTAAAGAAAGATAATAAACGAGGGAAGGGGACTTCATGGGATGATCAGGAAAGACCTTTCTGAGGTAGCACCTTTCGAATAGTCTTTCCCAGACTATTTCAGCCAGTACAAAGCCCTACAGGGAAAACGCTGGTGTGTTCAAGAATAGCAAGGAAGTGCACATGGCTGGAAAGGAATAAGCAGGGAAAAAAGAGCCAAAGATGAGTTCGGAAATAGGTACGACAAGGGGGAACCCAAATCAGTACAGACCTTGTGATGTGTGAGAGGGTGTGTTGGTCAGCTTTCTGCTGCTGTAACCAAAAACCAGAGAACAACAACTTACGAGAGGAAAGATTTATTTTGGCTCATGGTCAGGGGTTTCAGGCCACCTTTGGTGAGGTAGAAAAACAGTGGGAAGGTGTGGTGGAGGAGCACTGGAAGAGAGGGGAAGGGGCAGGGACCAGATGTAGTCTCTGAGGTCACACCCGTGATCTGCTCCCTTCCAGGAGGCACAAGCTCCTAACTGCCCATCACTTCCCAGTAATGCTAGCAGATTATGATCTCACTGATGGATTAACCCACTGATGAAGTTAGAGCCCTTGTGACCCATTCACCTCATGAAAACCCCACCTTGGCACACATGAGACATTTGGGGGACATTCTACACCTAAACCATAACACAGGGATTTAGATTTTGTAAGGAATGAGACAGGAAGCCATTAGATAGTTCCAAGCACAAAGGTAACACAGGCTGACTTTCCCAAAGGATGGCTCTGATGATACATTAACACAAGAAGGGAACAAAAGTCCTGGCAGAAGAACCACTTAACAGATTACAGCACTGATCCAGATGAAAAGGGTGGTGAAAGGGAACTAGAGCATGAGTAGCAGAGGTAAGTAGCCAGATGCTACATACAGTCCAAGGGAGAGCTGAAGGAAGAGGGTGGGTGGAGAGACAGAAAAAGGTGGAAAACACTAAAGGAGCAGCTAATTTTCAGAAGAGGGAATTACAGGAATTTGTTTTTAAACATGTCAAGTTTGAAATGTCTTTTAGAGGTCTAGGCAGACACCAAAAAGTTAATCCAGGCTGGATTCAGAATTGGAAATGCACATTTGGAAGTCATCTCTATGCACATCACATTTTAAAGACATATGCCTGGGTGAAAGCAGAGTATTTTTTAAGACATACAGAATAAAAGCAAAGTAAAAGATAGAGGTTGTCCAGAAAATTTTTAACTCAGAAAAAATTTAAGAGACTATCAGTCTATTACTGAATACTACCTACTACCATTAGCCATAGATAAAACTAATACATGCAGAGCAAACTTGCCAAATTATGAGGCCACTGCTTTTTTTTTTTTTTTTTTTTTTTTTTGGTTTTTCTCCGGTACCAGGAACCGAACTCA